GGAGATATTTTCAATAATTAAAATACACTTAATACAAATTTGGTATGTGTTAATATCATTGGTCATATATTGAGGCTGCTATGAGTATTTGTCAATCAAATAATGAAAAAAATAGGGAAAGACTTTTCCTGTCAATATGAAAAGTGAAGCAAAAGGTAAGAGAAAAGGAAGGAAAGGCATAGAGAGAGAATATTTTCTCCCCTACATTGTATATTGTGGACAATGACATATATATTCAGTTTTTACAAGGTTTGCATTTCATCCTTGGTTTATGTTGTATTATGATCACATGGAATGCCTGTTTATGTTGTTTGAAATTAATATATAAATCATACCTCCTAATTTGACATCAACTATAGTAATAGTAATAGTTGATGGAAAATAATAACGCTCTGGATGCCTTGTTAAGATTATTTCCAATTATCCAAACCCCTACCAGGGAGCTATGCCTAGTTCTGTTTTACAGATGAGGTTAGGTAATTTGCAGAAGTATCCAGAACAAATGAGTAGTAGAACTGAGCTGGGATTTAACAGCTTTCAAGCAAGCCTAGCCTCCTTCTAGGGCACAATGCCCCTCCACAAGGAAAGCCCAGCATCACCCCTGGGAAGGGGTAGACATCTTCGAAGAGCACCCAGCTCTTTTTTGAACAATTGTGTTAATAATCTGGCAATTCACACTTTTCCAAATTGTTAGACTCTACTTGGATGCAATCAAAGCTCTTAGGAGGCTTAAGCCTGCGGCTGCCTGCTTTTTGTTGCTGATTACAGAGCTCCATTTTCCCTGGGTTCAGTTTAGCCTTGGATGCTTCATGCTCCCTGGTCATGCCCACCCTTGGCCACTGGGCAGCCTGCCAGGGAGTTGCTGCTGCTTTGCCTTTGTCAACTCTTCTACCAGATTGTACGCTGAGATCACTCTTGTGTTTTAACCTTTTTATGAAGAGGATGATTATTTTTTAGGGCAATAAAATGTATAGAATTGGTACTCTTTGGAAATTAAAAGTCTCATATTTTTCCCTCAAAGAAAATGAACTTTTTAGAGAGGCAAGGACATCCTCATCTCACTGCTCAGACTTTAAGTTGGCTATACGTATAAACAAGCTATGGGGCAAAGGAGAATTCCAATCAAATTCCATGAAATCTAGACATATATTCAATACATTTTTTTTTTACGTGACAGGCATTATTTAAATTTCAAGAAACAGCAACTGAACAAAACAAACAGCATCCTGATCTCCATGGAGAGTATGGCTGATGAGGGCAACATACAATAAACACATAAGCAAATAAATTCACAATATAATGTCAGATAATAATAAATACTATAAAAATGTGTCAGAGTTAAGTGGATATGGGAATATGGTTGCAAATGTTGCATTGGTGGTCAGAGAATGCCTTACTTTTTGATTAGAAGTTTCCATAGTCAAGATTTATATATGAAATTGTTTTCCAAATGTTAGGTTAAGTATAACATAAAATGAGGGAAGAGAGAATATCTCAGTCTCTGAACCAGTTCCTCACTTCTGACATGATTCTAAGGGCTTTTCAGAGCTCTTGCAATTTTTCGTGTCTTCCACCCAGCCTGTTTTCCAGAATACTTTGCATTAGTTCCGAACGCAGGGCTTTCTTAGAATTTTTTCTTGGGGGATGGGTCTCATTCTAAAATTATTTCCCTGGACCAAATATGCATTTCATGGGGAAAGAAAATGAGCTCCAAAGCAGAGAAGTAACTTCGTCAAGGATGCCTGTGCTCCCAGGGCGAAGGAAGCCTCAGGTTGAGGTCCCTTCCATATGTGCTGCACAGTGGGCCCTTGGTCCTGGGGTAGGAGACCGTGCAGCACTGAGAGGGACCCAAAGCAGCTGTGAGGCAATCTAGTGTGTCCTGCCTGGGGAGGGCTGAGTCCCCAATCCCAGCAAAGTTAACCAGCAGCTGTATCAGGACTTTCTTGCCAGGGCTCAGCATTCTGCTAGGCCGGGGCTACAGTTCAGGTGTGGCCCAGCGCCCAGCACACCAGCTTGTGCCTCAGCCAGAGCGTAAGCGCAAGCAAATGCCTAACGCAGAGCAAAGCAAGGGTCAGAGGGGACAGGCCTGGGGCCCACGGCCGATACTTCTAATTTCTGTGATCCCCCCAAGTGCCGGAGCTGGCAGACAAGACAAGGAGCGGGGAGGGGGAGGCCTCCTTTTGGTGAGGTCGTCCCCCACCCCCAGACCAGGACTGGGGCCCCTGCAGGGATCTCAGGGGATCCACTGCAATAGGCAGGCAGAGAATGGTTTTCTTCAGGGGGAGCGCAGGGGAGTAGGCAGGGAGCATGGAAGGGATGCTGTCGGTATTCAAAGCAGCAGATAGGAGTGGGAGTTAGCCTGGATTTCTTTCCCCTTTCTGTTCTTAATCATCTTTTCTTTTTCCCCTCAGTGAGGATGCTAATATTGTGAATACCTGGGCGTTCCAGAAGAATCAGTGGAGATTCAATAAAAGGAAATGTAATCTGGGGTGAAAAATAGCTTCCCTTCACTTGTGTGTGTGTGTGTGTGTGTGTATAGAGTTAATGCTTTGCCATCTATGGGGCAGTGTATTAAAAACAGGATAAACACTGAGCTTGGACTACAGCACATTCCATGAAAGTCTTGGCTCAGCCACTAGCTTGCTGTGGGTCTTGTGTAATTCAGCAGCACCCTGGGGGTTTGAGTGCTTCTGTATAAAATGAAGAATAATTTAACTAATAAGATCTCTAGGCCTCTTTACGGTTTTAAATTTTCACTTATCAATTATAGTTTTAAAAGTCACCTTTCAGGATGGTAGCTGGGAGGTCACATCATAAATCTAGACATAGGAAAGTGGCATGATTTGAAAAGTACTAAAAGCTTTGCATTCTCCAAAGTATATATTTTTATATATACATGTACACACATTTTCATACTATAGACAGATTTCATTCTATCATTAAAGCCACGCGTGAATCTCCATTCTAACAACTTGTGACTGTGGCCTTGTTAGCATTGCTTGATTTCTGCAAGACTCTATTTTTCTTTCTTCTTTTCCTTCATCATGGGAATAAATATTGCCTGCTTTACAGCTTTGTTATAGGATTTAAATGAGAAAACTAATGTGAGAAACAAAGGTAAAAGACAAATTATTAAATTTCCTTACTACCTTGAAACAGGCAGAGCAACATTCCTCTAGGGACTCAGCTGTCTTGATGTTAATAGTTTGCTAAGGGCAACAGGTAACCTTAGCCCAACCCCAGGATCCTGTAAGCCTACTTTAACATAAAAATTTCTTTAGAAACTTCCTTTATCTCTCTACCCCCATAAGATGCCTATTGGCATTCATCCCCCAAGCATATGGCCCACAGATATACATCTGAAGGGTCTCATGAAACGTTTTATTAGACAGTAATAAATGACCTTTTCCCAACAATAGCTAGTCCTCTCAAGGTCCTGGAAACCTTGCTTCCAGAATTCCTTAGAGCCTTACCTTATCCCTAATCCCCGCCCAATTTAAGAGTATATAATGGGCCACTCCTCTTGATCCCAGTGCAGCTCTTTCTGTCCACAGGTTCTGTCCCCGTGCTTTAATAAAACGACCTTTGTGCACCAAAGACATCTCAAGAATTCTTTCTCGTTGGCTTCGAATCCTAACATCTTTTCCTACATCAAAAACTTAGATAATGCTAGTGAAAGAACTAGCATTATCTAAGTTTTTGATGGAGGAAATCACTAGAAACTGTGATGGGTTATTATGCCACTTTCTTCCAAAGTCATTAGGAACTGGAAGTGATTTTTTTTTAAAAGCTTGTCTTTCACACACTGCTGTTGGCTAGATCACAGAACATGAGCTTGTCCTCATGAAGGATGTGTTATCTGTGTCAGCCCTCTTCAATTCCAATTTTATCACCACCTTGAAAATGTTTGTTACTTGCTAACACTGGAAGGTGCACGGCAATGACCCCACTGACTTGAAGCCTTCTGAAGGCTCTATCTTCCATGCTGGCTTTCCGACATGATTGATATCCAAAGATGTCCGTCCAGGATGTCATTGCTGAAAGCCTACCCAACCGGGAAAAAAAAAAAGAGAGAATGAGAGAGAGAGATTTCTGGTTCGTTTCCTCAGAGTTAATTTTCTAGATTGAACATCCATAGCTTGGAGTGTCTTGACTTTTTTGGAATTCGGAAGTTAAGAGGAACAGAATTTAAGGTACACTCGGATATAGTTGGAGGTTTTCTGCAATCTTCCAAATGCAGAGTCTTGAATGTTTCACTCCATACCTCAGTCCCTAACTTATGAGGCTTTACTTCTCAGGCAAATGTCCCAAGGCAGAGATGCAGTGGGCTGCTGATTCTTAACAAGATGGAGCTAGTCATAGGGACACATGGACACATGTGTGGAAAAATACTAGCTCAGGAGCCCCCTTGACTTGAATTCTCTCCATTGCTTCCTTTTGTGTAACCTTGGGCAAGGTATATATGCCATCAACCCGACTCTCAGTTTTCTCTTTGGTAATATGAAGATAACATCTCTTAATATGATTATTATATTAAATAGAAAAAAAAAACCTTATAGAATATACCTAGTGTTCCTCTATCACAGCTATGAGTTGTATATTCTTGGTGCTTTACACCCACTGCTTCCTGATGAATGAAATGGGACCACACATCAGAATACAATGCCAGCCAAAAAATCAGAATCTTAAAAAAAAGAAAAGAAAAGAAATCAGAATCTTTCCCACGGTTCAGGAATCAGAGTGAAGGACCATGAACACTGTTTTTTTTTTGTTTGTTTATTTTTTGTTTTTTGTTTTTTTTTTTTTGAGAAAGAGGACATTTGCCTGAGGTTCAGCTGAAATGATTGCATTCGTAATGTTTCCTGCTGCCAAGGCCTCTAACCTCCAGGATCTTATCCTCAAAAAATCAGTTTAACAAGTGTCCAAATTGGCCAGATCAGCCAAATCTGGAACAGAGAAAGTCACTTTCCTCTTACTGGAGTGTCCCCTGGACCCGGACAGTGCCACAGAATGTTTATTATTCTGTAGCATTTTTAGAAATTACGCTCTTTGTTAAACCCACCATGGTGCTCAGTGTGTGTGTGTGTGGGGGGGGCTGGTGATTCATTAATTCATTGCGATGATTTGTCCTAATTATTCTAATTACTGCCTTGTCTTCTCAGACCAGCTGGTGCCTAGAAGTGGAGGGTAAGTCACCAGCCCTGAGCATGGAGGTAGCTACAGAATCCTGGGTGCTGGACCTGCAGAATTCATGGATATGGGGTCAGGAGAGCCTCACTGCTGCTGCTAAGTCTGAGTTGCCTGTGCTGCTGCTTTAGCTTGAGTGTGGGTCACTGGAATTTTCCACCATGCCTTTTCTAACTTTTCTGGGGAGAGAAGAGCCCTGATCCATGTTGCTTTTCCCTGTTTGAATGGCTCTTAAACTTAGTCTGGCCTTCTAACAACTGTTGATAATAAATAGATCTATCACTTAACGGCACACTACCAAGTGCCATCCTCAGTACGGACCGCTTTGCCTGCACTGCTCTTAGTGGCTCAGTGAGGGAGTGACATAGGGGATTGGATCCCAGGTCACTGACCCTGCAATCCTGGGTCCTTTGCACATCAATCTTTCCCTCTCACACAGAAAAGCAGGGCCTTTCTGCTCATGCTGGCTTCTTATCTGAGATCTCTGCTTCTTGCATCCCTGAACTCTTTTGCTATGATCATTCACATTCTGTCCTGGCTAACTAACAGCCCCTGGTAGCCATCCATGTTGACTTGAATGTGTGAAATGTCTTTTAAGTTATTTATACCTTATTTTTCTGGACAGAAGTACATTCTGGAAAATGCTGGAACTGTGGCTCATCCCTTAGGGAATGAGCTGGTACTTAACAGAATCTATGGCATAAGAAGTTCTGCAATGAGGCTGGTTGACAACAAAGCAAGGTGTTGCAATAAGGCAATGCTGATATTGAAAGACTTGACTGAGAAGGAGTCAGTTCATCTTATTATTCAAGTAATTTCTTGGGGAGTTATCACAACCCTGACTGGCTTTTCTTGACCAACTTCTATTCTTATTCACATCTCAGCTTACTTGTCATTTCTCCAAAGAAGACCTTCCCAGCTCTATAGACTATGGGATGCCCTGCTTTCTTGCATTCAAAGAATAGTGGAATCGCCTCATACTTAAATTTACTTTTCCTAAGGCTTGCTTTGCCAAAGAGGCTGGAAGTTTTGTGAGGTCAGAGGCTCCATCTTGTCTGATACTCTGACATTCTTGGCACCAAGAGATTGCTGCTCAGGGCAGGCCTCTGTCCAAGTGCTCCACAAGACTGGAAGTTGTGTGCCCACAGACAGCTTCCTCATTTCTAGGTGGCCATATCCTTTCAGGGATCCCCAGTCATAGTTGGAAGTTACCTGTACAGCCTGCACAGAAGAAGTGGAACAGGGCTTCAGGTGGCATGAAGTGAGAAGGTGGGGTGGCATGAAGTAGAAGATTTCTTCTATGAGTAGAAGAAATGCTGGAGAACCCCATTGGACAAACAGAGAAGCTTCAGAAAGAATGACTGATGTGCAGGAATAAAGAAAAAGAAGGCCAAGAGTGAAGGAACCTGTGTTGTTAGCAGGACAGTGGATTCTCTCTTGATGTGGTCTTTGGCTGAACCTGCTCATCAGGCTGACCAGAGAACTAGAGCCTGATTTCTATATCTGAAGATTTCAGTAGCACCTGGCCTGTTTGCATTTTAAAGATGTTAGATGATTCAAACAAATGCAGAAAACATGAAGAGCTATCTGCGTGTAAAAGGTTTTAGTATTGAGTTGTTCTTCATTTTGCTAACTGAACTGAAGGATGGTTTGCCTGGCTCCATTTCACACGGTGAGCTATTTGCTATGTACATTCATGAGCCAGATGCTAATAAGACCCGGACCGATAGCATATGCAACTTGGAACCTTTAGCCTGGACCGATAAGCATGATGTGTTGTGTTCATGAGGAACAGATGGTTTAAATTTAAATTCAAATTTTAAAGGAAACACAAAGCTGAAATGAAACTCTTTGAATGCTTGATAAAAACATTTGATATTTATTAATAATGTAATCAAATTTAATGGAATTCAGTTGAACCCTTAAACTGTCCAGAGAGTACAAATTAATGATGATTTTTTTTAATCTTTTTATGATTACAATAATGATTTAGACTTTTCTAGAATGCAGCTTTTGGGAGAAATCCTGATAGAAAAAAATAAACTTCAGGACGTCATTCAGCATGATGTCTGAAAAATTAATACTCTTGATAGTAATTTGAAATGGAAACAGAAAAAAAAAAGAAAAAAAAAAAGAAATGGAAACAGACATTTTGTAAGTGCCAAGGGGATAATGAATCCATTTTCAACCCCCCATCCCTCCAGGGTTATTTCCTCTCTGCTCTCCAGTAGCTGAGATGAGATGTTAATTTCTTGAAGTAATGGATGTATCGAAACCCAGCTGGGTACAGTGGAACAAGCATGAGGCAGAGACCCAGGAGATGTGTTTTCCAGCTAAGGTGATCATGGAATCAGTCCAATTCCCTTTGAAGATGAGGGGGATTATTTAATAATTATGCTGGCTCAACATGTGTTGACTGGAACTGCCTTTGGCCAAATCAAGACCCTAGTTCTAGCCCCGAACTTGTCACAATCATTCTCTGATCTCATGAAATTCTCTTAGCCTTCCTGGGTCTGACTTTCCTCACTCTGTCTCAATTCCTGCTGATGAACTAGCAACTGTTTTGAGAATTTGGTGTGAGAATGTGCGTCTGAGAGCTTTGAAACAGAGAAGAGAAAATAGCATTTGGCAGTATTGTCTCTGTGAAGTGGATAGAGATAGCTCCCAGAAACCACTTATTGGTCCTCCTTGATAGAAAAGAAGAATGAGAAGTAATTGAGAAAGAAAATTTAAAATATTAGGTAGCATTATGTGTTCACAAATTCTAAATGTTCAAGCCTTAGATGTAGGTCAGTAGTTTCCACTTTAGCACTGAAGTTCCCTTTTATTATTCCATCTTTAGAGCTTTCAAGATTTAAGCATCATGACAGCTGTCAAATGCCAAAATTAACTTTATCAAAATCACATATGACTACCAATCCTGAACTTTGGGTTTTAATGAAAAACCAGTGTGAATATCTTTAGTACCTGTAATACCAGCTGAATGGAAAGAAAACTAATCAACACATGTAGTATTATTTTGTGACAAATAATCATTTTTTTTTGGGGGGGGGCTATTGCTGAATACTGAGAAAAGCTGAGGACCTAGAATCCCTCCCCAACCCAAACAAAAATATATTATTGGATTCTCTCTCTCTTGGTTTTCTAAGGGCCTCATGTGAGAGCTAGGTCCCATGTGCTATGTTAGCCAAACTTCAGAGCCAACATTTTGAGCTCAGGGGGATTCAGTGATGCATCCAAGGTCAAAGAGCTAACAAGGAAAGAAGTAGAGATTTGAATCAGGCCACAAATCCTCTGTTATTTCTTCTAATTCAATCACTAAATCCCAGTTCTACTAGGAATCTAAGAAAGAGTTAAAAAATCAAGTATTTTTTAAAGTTGATGTGAGACAGGAATTTTCTGAAATTTTAGGGTACTGTGAATGAGTATCAAAAATGAATAAACGTTTCATGTGCTGGAGGGTGCTTGAAACCAGAACAAAATGCAAGGAAGAGACAATTAAAACAACAACAACATTATAACTGAGGGTTTGATTAACTATTTTAATGTTAGCAATGATACCTGCTATCTGTGATTTTGTCAGACTCCTCAAAATTGGCTTAGATTCAAAAATTTGGATAGCTAAATATGTCTTTTTATTTTAATAATCTCTAAAATAAAACATCCAATATATGACTTTGAACAGGCTTTACATGCTGATTCTATATAGATCATCAATATTTAAGTAGACAGAGGTTCGAGTTAAGAATATGCGCAAGAGAAAAATAATGGCATTGCATTTCAAATCATATCCTTTCCACTTTAAACATGACCATCGTCATACTTTGAGACCTGAAATGAGCCAGTTCATTTTACTTATGAGATCAGTGAAAGGTGAAGTATGTAACTTCATCTTGCAAACTGCTATGAAGGTGACCATCACCTGGAGATACCCAACAAGTCTAAAATCACCAGGATGGGCTTGCCTGGAGCGAAGATGCTTAGTGGGAAGGTATGGTGGTGGAGGAGTCAGTAGGAGGCTGGTGTGTCCATCTTGGGTGGAACTGACAGATGACAGATGCTAGCAGACAGAGACAAAGGTGCTCTGCCACAGGTAAGGGGCCCTAGTCAAACCCAGGGAGCCCATAGGTGGTGAATGGCATACATAATACTACATAATAACATGGGCGACTAGAGAGCTTGCTGAGTACTTGCTATAAGCCACACATTAAGACTTTTCCTATATTTCCTCATTTACTCTTTGCTGCAACCCAAAGAAGTAGGTACTATTTTATAAATGAGGAATTCAGAAAGTCCTGAAATAAGGTGTGATTAAATTCCTTGCTCAAGGTTCCAGTTATAAGTAGACAAGATTTGTCCACTTATGTATGACTTCATGTTCTGAACTGTTAAGCATTCCACAAAGATAAATGTTTAAAACTTAGAAGATTTGGGGATTGTAATAGTTATTAGAGGAAATAGATGAGGAGGAAGGAAACAGGGCAAACACTTATTTTTGAGCACTCATTATATTATATATTTTGTATCCTATATTCTAGAGGAGTTTTTAATATATTAAATTATTTCATCAGTTATATATTTTTCTTATGTATGTTTATATGTATATATGTATTTATTTACTTATTAAGCACGCATGTGCCAGCAGCCAGAGGCTAAGGGTAGAAGGAGAGAGAGAGAGAAAATCTCAAGCAGGTTCCATGTCTAGCCCGAGCCTGACTCAGGGCTTGATCTCATGACCCTGAGATCATGGCTTAAGGTGAAATCAAGAGTTGGATGCTTAACCAACTGCTCAGGTGCCTGAGTAGGCACCCCTGATTATATGTTTTTTCTGAAATGACAACCCAGGGTATCAGATATATAAAACAACTTTTCAATGTCACTCAGCTAATATAATGATGAAAGGGATTTTGCATCTCTGATTGCAAAGTCGATATTCTTTACTTTAGTCTATATATTTCTTTACGGATATTCCATTCCATTGACATACAATTCTCCACAAAACAGTAGATTAGAAGACATTGGCCCCAATCTCTCCTTGAAGTCTCGGGGTACTGGCTGGTGCATCACCATCTTTCCATCCTGTTTCTATGAATATCTACTCTAAGGATGTTATTTCAATACCCCCTTGACTCTGCTCTCCCAGAGTCTTTGAATCTACTCCTCATGTGACCAGTAAAATGGATCCATGCTATGCCACATTCTGAAGGATTCATTGCCTAAATTTATAGACATACTGGTTTAATAGGATGTGCTGCATCTGGGGCAGTTGGTTTTAAATGACTTCTCCATGAGAGAAATGGCTTATTTATTTAATAACATGGTCAGGTAAATGGGAACCTTCCTTACATGTTGGCATTTCTGATAGTAGAGCCAATTCAGTGGAACATTTATAGTCACATTTACCATTTCAGTGTTTGAGAGTATGGATGATACAGCTTCTTTCTACGTGAAATTTTCTCTCCCTCCTATACAACCTGCATACCCTCAGATTCTCCAAACATGTCATTCTTGGTTTCTGATTCTTGGCTTTGAAGGCTAATCAGGAAAAAGAAAGTCTGGTCCCAATTCTGCCACTAAGGAGTCTGAGGTCACTTGCAGAAGCCCTCTGACTTAATTATCAATTATTCATTAATAAAATGTGCCTAAATATCTATATTTCTGATTTCCTAGGACTTCCATGAAGATTCAAGATAGGGAATGAGAAAACACTGTAAGTACAGCAATGTATTGCAACATATGTAAAGTTATTGTGTAATATAATAAATCAAGTCCTCTGTGCTACATCCTTGAAAATGGTTTTAGAACTTGCTTATCTATCAGGGCCTTTCAAAATGTGTGGGGGTAGAAATACACATTTCCTTTAGAAAATAAATAGACAATAGAATAATTTATAATTTGGAATGCCTGTCTGGCTCAGTTGCCAGAGCATGTGACTCTTGATCTTGGGGTTGTGAGTTCGAGGCCCCATGTTGGGTGTACAGATTACTTAAAAATGAAATATTTTTTAATTTATTTTGTTTATTTTTTTAAGATTTTATTTATTTATTCATATGAGACACACACACACAGAGAGAGAGAGAGAGAGAGAGAGAGAGAGGCAGAGACACAGGCAGAGGGAGAAGCAGGCTCCATGCAGGGAGCCCGAAGTGGGCCTCATCCCAGGTCCCCAGGGTCATGCCCTGGGCCAAAGGCAGGCATTAAACTGCTGAGTCACCCAGGGATCTCCAATTTTTTTAAAAAGAAAAATATTCTTTTTAAAAAAGAATATATATCTTGTCAATATTTTTTTCCCAACTTGACTATAAAGTGACCATGGTAACCAGCTCCCTGCATATTCCCCCTTCTTGCAGTGGACTTTTCAGTAATCAATGCCAACAGTCCAGCAATGGTGTAGCCAGTATGGCAGGGGAGCTGTTATAGAAAAACATTCAGGATGAAGCTAACAAGAATATCTGAGAAAGAGAAGCAGGTTGAATTGATGTTGAAACTAATTTATTTCATTACCTGGCACTAGATATAAATTGCAGTATAATGATATTAATCATTTAATATGGATTGTTCACATAGAAGTTATAAGAATACCAGCATTCCACTTGGTGCTATTTTTTTCCCCCAGCCAAATCAATTTGGTTTTAAAGGATTTGTTTGTATTTAAAGTATAAAAAGAACCAAGGGTTCATGCAGCTTTGCTCAGAACAGGAGTAGATGGAGAAATAGCTGGAGCCGGAGGATATCAATAAGCCAAAAACCTGAGCAGATTATAAGGGGCAGTCAGTGATTTCTACCTGGAGTAAATGAACATGGCAGAGTAAACACCTTTAAAAGAAAGTCTCCTAAGGATTTAATCCATTCAGAGCCAAGCTGAAAGCAGCAATTCTTAATCCTGGATATACATTATAATCTCCTGAGAAATTTAAGAGATACCATTGCCCAGGCCTCACCCTAATTTAATTAAATCAGAATTGTTGAGAGCTAGTGCCATGGAGCATATATAATGCCATCTTTCTTTTAAAAAAAAAATCAGATGAGGTTTGAATAATAATAAAAAAAGTATACAATCAAAGAAAGAAACATTTACAAAACATATATTCTTTGCATTATATGAGGATCTGGTGAGTTTAAAGAGGCACTAGATTCTCTTAACAAGGCAATTACCACCAGATTAGGGATATAAAAATATATGTATGTACTCCAAGCATTAATTGTGAATTTGTGGTAAGAATTCTGTGTTCCATAGACCTTCAGAGGAAGGAGAAATGATTTTGGATGAGGAGAATTAGGGAAATCTGAGGATCAGTAGGAGATGGGCTAGGATTTTAAAAACAGCATATCACGAAGCTACTGTGGCATAACAAACCATTCCAGTCTTAAAGACCTAAAAACCATCATTTATTATATTTTTTAGAGTTTAAAACCACCTTGATCACTTGGCTGTTCTAGGTTGATCTTGACTGGCCTGTGCTTGGGTTCTTTTGCTAATGATCACAAATTGTTGTGGCACATAATCTATTTGAAAAATAAAGATGCTCAGAAATTCATGTGATGGATATGACCAAAGTGATTTCACAAATGTTACTTTAATGACATATGAATAGTTTTCTTCAGCAGTTTTAAGGACAATTAAGTATTTGTGAGGATAAGGGTCTCCTATGCTCACATTTTGGCACAACATTAAGATAAATTATTCCACCCGTGATAGTATTTGGTCAATTTAAGACTCAAACCCAAGATTCCTGTCTTTAAGCCTAGTCTTTCTCCTATACAAATACAGATGGTCCATTAGAGAGGGCTTTGTGTACTATTTCCTTCATATAAGAAATTAAAATTAATTAACCTGAATGCAAGAAGAAGTTATCACCAACATAGAGGAGGGAAGAGAACCAGTATCTCTGAAGAACTCACTAGCCCTCAGTCAATTATAAATCAGCACTTTTAAAAATCTTTAGCACAACCCTTTTCTGTGGGTATCAAACCATTTCATACATAAGGGAAAAAAGTGATCTCACAGAGATGATTCCATCCAGGCAAAATCACATGGTAGGTGATGGAGCTGATGTTGGAGTCTGCCTCTTTGTCCTTTCTAGTCCAAGCTCCTGTACACTGTGATTTATTATTATATCATATTATATCTGACGTACTTTACATACTTTACATACTGGATAAGTGAATACCAGGTAAGGGATCAGTGTTGACAGGTAGGAGCATGTAAGGTCATGTAACTGCATTTTATGGATTGATAAATAAGGTATTGCTTTCCTTTGAATTAACCTAAAACTCATTCTAAAAATTAAATGAATTTCAGTGCATGCTCATTTTACATGGTTAAGATTCAGGGGGAATCTGAGAAAGTCATCATGTTGGTGGGGCACAAGAAAGTCCAATGGTCCTCTATCACCTACTAGTCCTGCCAATAATAAGAATGTATCCAGAGTTTTTCAAGACATTTATAACCAAAAAGGGACCAACTGGAGGGTGGTACTGCTCTTCTTATCTGTCAGCATTGTCTATACTTCAAACCTCCACCTATGCTGAAGTTGGACCTTCTCAGTCCTTCTTATTTTTGTCCCTGCTGGGTTCCATGTTCCTATTTCTTGATCATGTTGAATCTGTCATGGTCTCTTCACCCTGGTGCCCTGAGTTCTTCAGTGTGCAGACTTTCTGTACAGCATAGAAAAGATATGTTTTTTCCTAAGAGTTTTGAGGGAATGATGAGATGGTATCTTACAGATCCCACAGCTCCAATGTGGACTCTGGGACAGGCTTGGGCAAGTGTGGCCACCAGTCAGGCTGGAGAACTACAAAGGTCTCCAAGGACAACAGGAGGGGCTGGCAGGGTCAGGAACCCAAACTGCAGACAACACAGCAGATACATGGCACTGTGGGAAGACACACCCAGAAGCAAAGATCTCTCCTTCTGCTGAGAGAAGGGGTCTAGGTTTTGGTAGGTGGGGGCCTGCAGGGCACTGCAGGTGAGGTCCAATGGGGAAACATGAATCACTCTGCGTGCTCCACAGAGTGTCTGGAATCAAAGCTAAGATTACAGTATGGAAAATGGCTTTGTACCTGCAGGAGTTTGGATAAGCCTTGCTTAGGTAAGATATATGGGATCCAATTTTAGAAGCCTGAACTAGCTTTATAAATAGCATTTCCAGATAAAATACAGAATGTCTATTTAATGCTGCATTTAAATTAACAATGAATAATTTTTAAATATATGTCCCAAATATTGTACGAAGGATACTTATACCAAAAAGTTTATATCTGAAATTTAAATTGAAATGGGCATGCTATGTTTTTGTTTGCTAAATCTGGAACTGTATTTGCAGAAGTTGGAAATCACCTTCTCTACCAGTTTTAGGAATGAATATTTCTTTCTAAAAGCTAATGGTGGGAAGTACAGAGAAAGAAATCTTGGCCCATGTGAAACGCATTTTAACCTCAACTTATTCCTCTGGAAAATAGGCATAATAATAGTACCTAGGGATGGCTGGGTGGCTCAGTGGTTGAACGTTTGCCTTCGGCTCAGGGCATGATCCTAGAATCCCAGAATTGAGTCTCACATCGGGCTCCTGGCATGGAACCTGCTTCTCCCTCTGCCTGTGTCTCTGCTTCTCTCTCTGTGTGTGTCTCTCATGAATAAATAAATAAAATCTTAAAAGAAAAATAAAAAAATAATAGTACCTAAGTACTATTATTGTACTAAGTACAACCTCTCCTAAGATTGTAAGGGGATATATATGGGATAACATGTGAAAAGCTGAGCACAGCGTCTGGCTTAGAGTAAGTCTTCAATAAATTTCAACCATTATTAAAATAAATACTACATGAAGACGTGGATGGGTAGTGAATGAATGCATAAATGATCTTGGTAAAGCAGCACACTATGAAAATCCAAGTAATACTCTATAATAGTTCATTGCAATTTATTTTCTATCTGAAGCTCAAGATCCATCACATTCTGCATGGGAAATAATCAAAACAAAGTGGCGTAACAAGAAATCCCATGACAGTTGTGTGGAAATGCCATCTTTTCTTTTTTAGGTGAAGTGGTAAAATCTTGCAAGTGGCATTTGTGCCTTTGACAAATGGGAGGCTGACAACATTGGGACGTGGTTGACAAGTACAAAATAGCATTCAGGAGGCAGGCATCATGAAGAGGAAAACAACTCTTGTGTGTAGCTGTCTATATTGAGCCAGATTTTAAAGAAGTGAAAAACTCTCTATATGGGAGTGAAGAACATGAAGATCTCATAGTAAAATCTGTTTTTCTTTTTAAGATAGATAGTTTTCTAAAGCCCTTTTCCCCCCACTGTACAAGACTATATTGGAAAAATATCCCTAGAAAATGTAATTCAGCATATTTTGATGGAAAACATTTTCTTTTGGTTATAAGCATCTAAATAATCCATTGTGAACATCAGAAGTTATTGAAAACTCCAATGTGTCTGCAATATATCCCTTCTTGTAGAATACAGGCATGTTTTCTGAAGGTTTATTGAAAAATGAGAGTCTCATATAAAATGTATTTCAGATCATTTAACTTTTCTATCTTCTTTTATGATCCAATGAATTTTATTCATTTTAGCAACTCATGCTGAACCTAAGTACTTTAGGATTAAGATTAAAATACTGAGTATATGAATTAGGGTTAATAAAAAAATCCAATATATTTTTGCTTATGCAGCTACTGTCACTTAAATGAAATGATACACTCAGAGGTGAAGTGTGGGTAAACTAACTGATTTTCTTTTAATTTGGTGTCCACAGAAATCAAACCCAGATGGTTCTATTGTTATAAATTAAGGTTGATCAAAGTGACAAAACTCCTGAGGGAATCTTTTCTCAAGAATTAAATTGGGTGCCCATAATTGTATTTCTATAGCTCTATCTCATAGTGTAATCAGGGAGAAAAATTAAGACTAATCTCTAGACCATAGCAAATATCTCTCATATAGATTTTAATTTCCATTGGCTGGGTTTGCTAGAGAGTACAGATACAAAGGAGAAATATCTCTGAAATGGATTATGAACAATTTAAATGACCTGAATTGTAGTGGAATTCCACAAGCAGGGTAAGTACTGGTCAATAGGAAAATTCAGACTAAATTTGTAATTTGAGGGCGGCCCCGGTGGCGCAGCGGTTTAGTGCCGCCTGCAGCCCAGGGCGTGATCCTGGAGACCCTGGATCGAGTCCCACGTCAGGCTCCCTGCATGGAGCCTGCTTCTCCCTCTGCCTGTGTCTCTGCCTCTTTCTCTCTCTCTCTCTGTCTCTATGAAATAAATAAATCTTTAAAATAAATAAATAAATAAATAAATTTGTAATTTGAGTTAAGACATTGTGTATATAAAGGTGTATATATAAACCCTGTGTGTGCCCCGGGGGCCTACTCTTGTTTGTTTCCAATGGACAATAAAATTACGGAGTGGATATGCTTGTGATATGTGCTACTATTCCTCACAATCTTGGAAGAATGGTAGCAACCCACAGAAACACAGCATGGTCAGGAAAGGAACCCCGAGGTCAGAGTGGAGGAAGGATAAGTAGAAGCCCAGAGGTTGGGATGCTGTTACAGTGATCTATCAAGAAAGCATCAATACCCAGACTATGATATTCACATCTGAAGCAGAGAGAAGTAAACACAATTATGAAATCTGAGGGCTATAACAGGAATAACAGGATAAAAGGAATCTCTTGGAATAACAGGATCTCTTGATGCCTGGACACGGAGAGGGTGGAATTCAAGCATGCTCAGGGACCAGGGGTTTCATGATGCTATTAAACAAGATAAAGAACTGGGAAAAGGGATGATGAGAAAGATGATTACTTCAACCCTTTGTAAACTGAATTTGAGGTACTTTGGGGCATACTATAGTAAGTCCTAGTAAATTGATTTGGGAAATGGATTTTGATATTGATGATTATGGATAATCAGATGGAAGTCACTGGGGCAAGCTGGGAGGCTAAATGGGATGGATGCTGAGTGGGAGGCACAGTACGCACCAAAAAGACCTTACCTGGCATTTGACATGTTTCCCTAAGTACTGGCACTTACAGAAGGGCTGAGGATCAGAGTAATAGAGAAGGGCAAGCAAACACAGAGGTGTGCTGGAGCCAACAGTTAACTTCTCAGGAATTCTGTAAGCTGCCAGTTGGACACTGCTATCATTAAACATTAAATTGTATATATTTAAAATTACCTATATAAAAAACAAAGATAGATAAAATTCACCTCTTCCAAATTATTTTCTACAATTGATGATGACCTATACTCTTGAGGCTATTTATACCTATTGTGTCCACACCGTGGTCTTTTCAACTCTACTTTCAGTGATATCTTGGCTGGTAGCTTGAAACTACAAGGTAATCAGCCAGTACTACAAATTAGGGCTCCTCCCACCCCCCCACCCCTCACCCCACCTTCTCAACCCTGAGAACTGGTTGTTTACAAGCACACCGCTGATTAAGCAGGGACTTTCATATCCAAAGAAAGAGCCATGGAATAAAAATGCTTTTCTTATTGCTAAAAAAAAAAAAAAAAATTACTCTATAACTTGGTAGCTTAAACCAACGGCTATTATTTTGTTATTAAAATTCACAGTTCTATTGGTAAATAGTTCTGGAAAGACATGGCTGGATAATTATGGCTAAGAATCTCTCAGTCAATTTTAGTCATCGGTGGCTAGAGAGGGAGCAGCAGGGTTGGCTGTGCATCTTTGTCTTTTTAAAAATATTTTATTTATTTGAGAGAGAGAGAGAGAGAGTGAACATGAGTGGTGGGGGGAAGGGGACAGAGGGAGTGAGAGAAGCAGACTCCCCGCTGAGCAGGGAGCCCTATGCGGGCTTGACCCCAGATAGGGCTCCCTGAGTCCGCCAAAGGCAGACGCTTAACTGACTGAGCTACCCAGGGGCCTCCATGTTTCTCTCTTTATGTAATTTTTTTTCCAGGTGTTCTTTCTGTGTTAACTAGTTTGAACTGCCTCAAAACATGATGGCCCCATGGTAGTTGTACTTCTTATGTGGTATTTCAAGAGCTCCAAAGGCAAGTGTCATAGGGATGAAAGTGGAAGCTACATCACTTTTTATCTCTTGCCTTAAAAAAATCATTAGAATCACTTCTAGCGTATTTTATTGCTTACAAACAAGTCACAAATCTGCCCAGACTCAAGGACAGTGAAAGTCAACTCCATTTCTCAATAAGGGAATGGAAAAGTTTAACAAGAACATGTAGAATGGCAGATATTTGAGCTCTCTGGAGAAAATACAATCTGCCTCAGAGCCCAATCCATAAATGAGTTGGAGAAAGACAATTATACGTAGTTGCCACTATGGTCAGCAGTCTAGAGGATATTTGAGAAGTGTTGCTTTCATCAATATGAGACAAAATCCACACACATGAGGTAGGATATCATTTCCAAGTGATACAGTCTAGGAGCTGAAGAAGTTTAGTTTGAGGGAATTTTATAAAATAGGTAAGTCCAACCCTAGATGATGATAAACAATACATTTGTCTATGTTCTTATGGCTTAGGGAGGTTTCCATGTCTATCACCAGGAAGGCACTACTTTTTGTCTCTGTTCTGAACATTTCTACTGATTCTATTACTTGCATGAGATTTTGTCCTCATCTTCTCAGCCTTTCTGTTTGTATTCTCCTGATTGTAACTTTGCTGCCTCCTTTTGATTATGTATAGTTTTTTTTTTCCTGTTTTCTTCCATATAACTTTTGTTTCCCTGATGGTAGACAGCAAATTTATTCCTTACCTGATCCATGCTGCCTCAAGTTGTCTGGCAAAAGCTCTGATCCTCTGCAGTTTGAACCAGAAATTCAAAAACGAAGATAAAAGAGAAGAAACTATGAGCTGGTGACAAGGGTGCTGGATTGTTGAATAATGAAAGCAGTTACCCCAAGAAGAGTTTAAATTAGTAAATAACTTTCTGAGATAAGTCTATATTTTAAAACTTTGAGGAAATTGTTTTAAGGAAAAAGGACCGTATTGTGGTATTTGTTTTATAATTAAGGATGAACAAAGAGAAAATTTAGAGGCAGATGTTAGAATTCATGAAAAGTCTCCGGCTCTATTCTAAATGCAGCAAACATTTCCTGGGAGTCTACCAGGTGCCAGATTCCACACTAGGTTCTTGAGACAGAGCAAGAAGCAAGATAGAAACCAGCAGCTGGTAGGCATTTAAAATATATGTTAAAAATGAAATTATACTGTAGACTCTCTCAATTAGAAACTCACCCTCTAAGTTTGGAGACGTGATAACTTTTCATGGAAATTCAAAGGCTAAAGTGAGCTGAAGGTCAGATGTACAAACAGGAAGAAAATGAGATCTATTGAAAGGCAGGTTTGTTCAATGATATCTAGTTGTCTGTTTGCTCATCATTAGGTGAGTAAATAACTCCTACCCAGGTAAGTACTCTATGTTGTAGTAAGTGCTCTAAACCAGTGTCTTCAACCCTAGCTTTCTCCTAGAAAAACCAGGCAATTAAAAAAAAAAAAAAAGATACTGATGAATGAGTACTAAACCAGATCGTTCAAATCAGAGTAACTGGCAGTGGTGCCACAACAGGAGATTTTTGTCCAAAGCTCCCTGTGTTATCTTAATGTGCAACTTAGCTTACAAACCCCTGACGTAACCAATTTCTGTCTCCCCTTTGCCTGCCCCTTTGTCTGCCATCCCATCTGCTGTCTTCCTGCTCCTGATAAGGCATTACCTGGTTGTCAAATTCTGTGGAAAAAGGTTTCAGGATTTTGAAAAGTTTTCAGGAATAATGGTTTTCAACCATAGCTGCATATTGAAATAACTTGGAGAACTCTGAGGAACCCTTATGCCTGAGTGCTATACCCAAGAGGTGGGGGACTTGGTGACTATGAGGCCGAAGTGGCCTCATAGCAGCGTTTAAAGCTCTGTAGGTGATGCTAGTGTGTGCTCAGACTTGGGAACCACTGTCCCAGAATATCCCCATGTTAAAAATCTGACTATCATGTCAGATGCAATTGAAGTGTAGAAAAATTCTTAACTGAGAATCCTAACAGGTGGTGAGTTGGAATTAGAGAAGGAGTTTTGGGGTGGGAGGAACAGAGGTGAACTGAGGAGATCGTGCTCCCCTGCTCCACCCAACAGAAGCCACATGGAACGTGGGACCAGTATGCTAGATTGACCTGTTTTTCAAAGGAAGTCAGAAATAAAGATTGCTTTTGGATGTGCAGCCTGCCAATTTTTAAATTTTGGCAACTAGCTCTTGTTATAAAAACACCAAATGAGCTGAATTCAACCTGTCTGTGAGCTGAATTCAGCCAAAGGGCCTGCCAGATTGTGACTTTTCCCTTAGGAGTCCTTCATGTTGGGATATCACATTCTTCCCTGGCGTTTGTGGGACTCTGTTCTCAGAAGTTTCCTTTACCTTTGCCCCTATAGAAATGTGACAGTACTGTTTCCCAGCCACATGTGAACATGTGAAGGCAATTTTCCTTTATATTCCTAGTTTTTTGCCCAGTGCAAATATAAGGCGAGTATCCGGTAGACATCCTACTTTTAGATCACCGCATTGAGGAATGGGTGTTAGTTCATTAATGCTGTATACAAAACACCCAAACCAAATTTTATAGTACTTGTGGATTCACGATGGGATAATTAGCAATTTCTTCACTTCCCACTGAGCAGGATGAGTTGAGGATTAGCTTCTCTCAGTAGATTACACATTAGAGAGAAAAATGTCAAACAGCTAAGTAAAATGGGATGCTAAGTCTTCCCACACAAGCATCTACAGAGCACTAATGAGCTAGCTTTTCTGTCACATTCACAACTAGCAGGAGGTGACCCAAGAATAAGTCAGAGAAGCTTTCTATTGGAGGATCTTCATTTTACCTCTAAATATATAGTAAAAAAAGTGAGTCAATTGTTACTTACAGAAGCTATTTTCGTTCAACTGCAGGAAATTAACTATATTTCAGAAATAACCCTTATATTGCACAGAATACAAGTCATCCTCAAATGGCATGGAAATGAAAAAAAAATATCCTTTCATTTGAACTAAACATGCTTTCTTTTTTTTAACTGAAGAAATTTACTTTTGTTGTCCTCACTCCACACATCATCTCTACGTAATGAGGCCTCTGATTCATGACCCCAACTGCTTTTCCACAGCTCATTAACCTGTTTATGCTTCCCTTCTCTCTGACCCACCTAGCATTTCATCTTGTGTTTGGATTCAGATGTTTGTGAGAACAGGCAGGGATGCAATGCCGGGGAGTGGCCAGCACTATGGCTTCTGCTGAATGATGAAGTGTGGAAGGACACCTCTCTGGGCTACTAGGCTAGAGGAGAAAAAGAAGGCACGAATCTGTGTACACTTGCCATTTTCTGTTTCTCATTGATCAAAATTTACCCAAGGGGAGTTCTCTTTCTCCCTGTAGCTCTGGACTGTGTTGCCTGGCTAGGCTGGCAGCTGCCTGGAAAACCAGTTCCCAGGCACCAGAGTGGGGTTCTTCATTCA